CTCTGTGTTTTTTTTTTTAAACATCCCTTATGATTGTCTTTTTCACTTAGAAGTCTGTTTAATTTCTAAGTATTTGGGGATTTTCCAAATCTCTTTCTATTAATGATTTCTACTTTAATTCTGTTTTTTAAAAAATATACTCTCAAATTTCAATTCTTTAAAACTTGTTGAGGTTGGCCCTAACTGGGTAGCTCAGTTGGTTAGAGCATCATCCTCATATATGCCAAAATTGGGGGTATGATTTCCAGCCAGGGCACATATAAAAGTTAAGCAATGAATGCATAAATAAATGGAACAACAAATTGATGTCTCTCTTTCTCTCTCTCTCTTTCCCCCCTCTCCTCCTATTTCCCCCACCCCCTAAAAATCAATCGTTAAATTAATTTTTAAAAACTTTGAGGTTTGTTTTATGGTCAAGAATATGATTTATTTTGGTGACTGTTTCATATGTACTTTAATGACTATTGTACTGTGAGTGGAGTCTTCTAGAAATAATACTGAATGGGTTAGGGTAGTTGATACTATGGTTCAGTTCTTCTGTATCCTTAGTGGTTTTCTATCTGTTCTGTCACTGAGGAATAAGTACTGACTATTCTATCTATAATTATGGATTTATCAATTTTTCCTTTTTTTAATCATTTCTTGTGTTTTGAAGTTCTTTAGTTAGGTACATATACTTTTAGGATTATTCTGTATTAGTGGTGATTTGCCACATTTATTATTTGTCCCTCATAATATTTTTTCTGAAATTTATTCTGTCTGGTATTTGTGTAATCATTACAGCTTTTTTTCTTTGTGTCTGCAAAGTATATCTTTTTTGATCCTTTTACTTTTTTTTAAAATATATTTTATTGATTTTTTTACAGAGAGGAAGGGAGAGGGATAGAAAGTTAGAAACATCGATGAGAGAGGAACATCGATCAGTTGCATCCTGCACACCTCCTACTGGAGATGTGCCTGCAACCAAACTACATGCCCTTGACCATAATTGAACCTGGGACCTTTCAGTCTGCAGGCCAACGCTCTATCCACTGAGCCAAACCAATTCGGGCATAGGTTTATGATTTTTGTCCAGTCTCTTCTCACAACCCCCACACCCTTTTCCCCTACCTCCCAGGATTGTCAGTCCACTCCCTTTTTATGCCCCTGATTATTCACCAGATTATTCTGTTCATCAGATTTTTTATTCACTTGATTTTTAGATTCACTTTTTGATAGATATGTATTTATTGTTCATAATTTTTATCTTTACCTTTTTCTTTTTCCTCTTCTTAAAGAATACCTTTTAGCATTTCATATAATACTGGTTTGGTGTTGATGAACTCTATTAGCTTTTTCTTATCTGTGAAGCTCTTTATCTGACCTTCAATTCTGAATAACTTTGCTGGATAGAGTAATCTTAGTTGTAGGTTCTTGCTATTCATCACTTTGAATATTTCTTGCCACTCCCATCTGGCCTGTGTAGTTTCTGTTGAGAAATCAGCTGACAATCATATGGATACTCCCTTGTAGGTAACTTTTTCTCTTACTGCTTTAATATTCTCTCTTTGTCTCTTGCTCTTGGCATTTTAATTATGATGTGTCTTGGTGTGGTCCTCTTTGAATTCCTTTTGTTTGGGGTTCTGTGCGTTTCCTGGACTTGTAAGTCTATTTATTTCACCAGGTGGGGGAAGTTTTCAGTCATTATTTCTTCAAATAGGTTTTCAGTATCTTGCTCTCTCTCTTCTTCTGACACCCCCATAATTCTGATGTTGGTTCGCTTGAAGTTGTCCCAGAGGCTCTTTACACTATTTTCATATTTTTGGATTCTATTTCTTTTTGCTTTTTTGGTTGGGTGTTTTTTGTTTCTTTGTATTTCAAATCTTTGACTTGATCCTCTAGTCCGCTGTTGGATCTTTGTATATTATTCTTTATTTCAGTCAGTGTATGCTTAATTTCTAGTTGGTCCTTTTTCATATCCTTGAGGGTCTCACTAAATTTATTGGTCTTTTCTAGAAAATTCTTGAAAAACCTTATAAGCGTGGTTTTGAACTCTATATCTAGTCATTTGCTTTCCTCCATTTCTGTCATTTGTGACCTGTTTCTTTGACTCTGCATTTTAGCTGCTTCCCTGAGTTGATAGAGTGGCTTTGTGTGCTAGGTGTCCTATAGGGCCCAGTGGCTCAGCCTCCCCAATTACATGAAGTGGACATTCTTGGTGCACCCCTTTGTGGACTGTGTGCACAGTCTTGTTGTATAATAGTTAAGCCTTGATTGTTGTTGGTATCACTGGGAGGAATTGACCTCCAGGCCAATTGGCTGTGAGGATCAGCTGTGTCTATAATGGGAGAACTTCTGTGCTGGAGACACCCTTATGAGGCAAGACTTGCTTCAGTGGGGCTTTGGTGCTCACTGAGTCTACCTCCTGAGTGTGTCCCTTATGGATCTGAGAAGTTGTAATCTAGATGATCCTATTCTGACCCCTGAGTACACTGGCTCTCAGATCTCCAATGAGGTGCTAATTTAGCCTCTGCCTGAGGGCATGCAATAAGAGCTTTGGAGAGATCTGCAAATTCCTCTTCTTTGTTTGGGTTTTGGAGGTGCCCAGATGAGGCCCAGTTGTGAAGCAATGCAAGCTGCTGTGGGGCTTTGGACCTTCTTTTGGATGTTCTGGGTCTCTCTGACTCAGCTGCAGTTTGTTAGGTTATTTTAGATTTCAGAGGATCAGGCCAGTAGTTGGCAAACTCATTAGTCAATAGATCCAAATATGAACAATATGATTGAAATTTGAGAGCCATATTTTTGAAACTTAAACTATATTGGTTGGTACATTGTTATTAACTTAATTAGGGTACTCCTAAACTGGCCTTTGCTAAAAACTCAAGGGGCCAAAGAGCTGCATGTGGCTTGCGAGCTGCAGTTTGCTGACCACTGGATCAAGCCATCCATATGCAAAAGCCTCTGTGCACAGCTGGAATGGGTCAGAGTCTCAGGGTGGAGCAAACAGCAATGGCTTCCCGTCAGCCTTGCCCTAAGAGGCCCCCGGGTCTCAGTGTCCCTCGGTAATCACTGCAAGCACCTCTGAGAGAAAGCCGCCCTTGTGTTCCGGCCAGATGCCCGACAGTCCAGTTTCTCCCCATATGAGTCTGGGTTTCCAAAGTCTCTCCCAGAACTGGAGTTCAGAGCAGTCAGGAGCTTGTGTCTCCCTCCCGATTGAAAAAGCCAGCCGTGTACTCAGATGGTAGCCCTCTCTGCTCACGCACCTCTGTACTTCTGCACTTTACTTCCGCACCTTCTCTGAGTCTCAGTGTGCTTTTCTCTTCCCTTCTAGTTGTAGAATTTCCACTCAGCCAGCCTTCCTGTGGTTCTGGATGATGTCCATTTTGTCTTTCAGTTGTAGTGTTGAAGTGGTTGTGCAAGGCAGCAAATTCAGGTGTTTACCTATGCTGCCATCTTGGTTTCTCCTGGCATTGTTTTTTTATTGATAACCTTTGTCATTTAATTGGTGTGTTTATACCAGTTTAATCCAGTTGTTGCTGGATTAAAATCAGCCATCTTGCAAGTTTTTTTCTACTTGTCCCATCTGATCTTTGTTCTTATTTTCCTCTTTTTCTGATTGCTTTTGGATTTTGTGACTACTTTTTATGATTTCACTTTTTTCTCTCCATCTGCTTATCATTTATACTGCTTTAAAATTTTGTTTCTGTTGTAATCACAGTGGACCTTAAATAATATTATGCTGTGTAATATAAGATCCTTAAAATAGTACACTCCCAATTTCATTACTTCACTCTTTGTGCTATTATTTATCTTTATTTTTAAACATTGATGAGATCTTTATTTCCTTGTGTAGATCCAGGTTTTTGTCTAGTATTATATCCCTTCTATCTGAAGAAATTATTTAAATAAAATATATCTTATAGTACAGATCTATTGTAATGAATTCTGTTTTTGCTTATTTAAAAAGGATTTTATATCTTTTTTATTTTGAAAGGTATATTTGCTAGGTATAGAATTCTGCTTCATAGATTTTTTAAAAAGCACATTAAAGATGTCAGTGCATTGTCTTCTGACTTGTATATTTTCTGATTAAAATGGCTGTGATTATTTCTTTCTCTGTATATAGTATGCTTATTTTTCCTCTGGCTGCTTTCATGACTTCCTCTTTGATTTTGATTTTTAGTGGTCTATGATGTATCTTTGTGTTTTTCTTTTCTTTTCTTTTATTTATTTATTTATTTATTTTTACAGAGAGGAAGGGAGAGGAATAGAGTTAGAAACATTGATGAGAGAGAAACAGCCATCACCTGCCTCCTGTACAACCCCTACTGGGAATGTGCCCGCAACCAAGGTACATGCCCTTGACCAGAATCAAACCTGGGACCCTTCAGTCTGCAGGCCGATGCTCTATCCACTGAGCCAAACCGGTTTTGGCACCCATTAAAGACTTTAATATATGAGTTATATTTGTTTTAAATTCCCTGTCTATATTTATTAGTTGAGGTTTCTGTTGATTTCTTTTTTTCTTAATAGTAGATGTTTTTACTCATGCCTTTACAGGTGTGTCATAATGTGTGATTGAAGGTGGATGCTGCCAGTACGATCCTTTCTGCCCCCTTTTGGTTTTTATATATATTTGTATTGATTTCAGAGAGGAAGGGGTGAGGGAGGAGAGAAAGAGAGAGAGAGAGAGAGAGAGAGAGAGAGAGAGAGAGAGAGAGAGAGAGAGAGAGAGAGACATCAATGATGAGAGAGAATCATTAATCGGCTGCCTCTAGGAATCTAACCTAGATTTCCTGGTTCGTAAGTAGACATTCAACCCCTGAGCCACACCAGTCAGGCCTTTCTTCCCCTTTCTGAAGAGGCAAAGTGACTATCCCAGGAGGTGGTGTTTTCCCAGGTGATGTGCAGGGATTTCTTGGAGTTCTGAAGCAGGTCATAGCTTTAATAACAACACCTTCCTTTTTGCTTTATTCCAGGTCTGCCTTTATATCTGTGCCTTTACCTAAAAGTTACCGAAAATGAACAAATCTCAGGTGAGTTGTTTATTCCCAATTTTGTTTTTTTAGTACATTTGAGGAAGTTTATTAGGATTCAGAATATGAAACAGAGAAGTATAGATAAGTGAAATGCAAGGAAAACAGAGTAAATATAATACCAGCAACTGAAAAGCAAACCAAGTTTATTAAATGCCTTACATTGGTTATGAATACCATTTTCTTGGTTGTTTAGCATTAGGTCTGAAGAAATTTTATAGATCTTCCTTAGATGGTGTTTTAGACAGCGTCTGCAGAAACAACCCAAATTAAAAGGGTTATTAATTTGTCTACAGTTGTTTTATATACCATTCTTCAGTACAAATGTAGAATTTTATTATGTGTATTTTATTCTTCTAATCAAATTAGCATGATGCAGAAAACTCAATAAATATTTGGGTGTATATTTAAATTCTCATTTAACCTCCACAAGTTTCATTGTTATTCTTGAGTAGCTTTCCAGAGTTTATTTGTACATATGTACCAGGTACAAAAATAGGTTATTATAAGGTAGATTATTAATATTAATCATACTGTTCTATTTATATGTTTTGTTTTTAATTAATAGACTTCATTTTTTAGAGCAGTTTTGGGTTTACAGAAAATTTGAGTGGAAAAGTACAGTTTCCTTATATTCCTTCTACACACAGTTTCTCCTATTATCTACATTAATGTGGGATACCTGTTCCAACTGATGAGTCAATATTGGCACTTCAACTAATGTACATAGATTACATTGAGATTCACTTTTGGTATTGTATATTCTGTGGGTTTCGACTAACATATAATGACGTGTATCTACCATTTTAATATAAAGAATAGTTTCACAGCCCTAAAAATCCCATGTGTTCTATTTATTTATCCTCACTCCTCTCTGAGCAGTTATTTTTGGACAGCAGTTATTCTCTTTTACAGATGGAAACTGAGGCAGAGAGTGAGTAAATGCTTACCCAAGATTGCAAAGAAGTAGGAAGTGTGGAATCTTAACACTTTGCAGTTACAGGGGCCTTTTTCAAACCCAGTTTCTCTCTTGATTCCTTCCAACATCCTTGTGGGGGAAGAATTACCTTGTAAAGCTGAGGAAACCAGGTTCTGAGATAAGCTACTTGCCCAGGCCTACAGCATGTTGGTGGGTAGTCCTGGGCCTTCCCATGGCAAGGCTTACCCGTCACCCCATGGGCCCCGTATCTTGTAGCTGACTTCTTATTCTGCTCCTTGGCGATGGAATCATTGAGCTTCCTCTCAAATTGCCAGGGGAGAATCCACACTCCATTCACCATCTCCACCAAGACAAATATCCGGCCCACGCTGGTGGTTTGCACATCTACACTCAGCTGGCATTGCATGACTTTCCCACTGCTCTTTTTACTGTCTTTGTTGTTGAGCTTTTCCAGAATGTCATATAGTTGGAATCATACAAAAGGTAGTCTTTTCAGATTGGTTTCTTATGCTTAGAAATAAGCATTTATGATTCCCTGTGTCTTTTCATGGCTTGATAGATCATTTCTTTTTAGCACTGTATAATACTTTGTTTTATGACTGTACCACCATTTATTTATTCACCTATTGAAGGGGCATCTTGGTTACTTCCAAGTTTTGGTAATTGTGAATAGTTTCATATAAGCATTGTGTGCAAGGTTTTGCATAGAAATAAAATACTAAGCATAATTTCTAGATTGTATGTCGAGTATGTTTTGTTTTGTAAGAAATAGCTAAACTGTCTTCCAAAGTGGCCATATCATTTTGTATTCCCACCATCAGTGAGTGAGAATTCCTATTGATCTACATCCTTGCCAGCATTTGGTGTTGTCAGTGTTGTAGATTTTGGTCATTGTGTAGCAGTGTCTTGTTATAATTTGCAAGTCCCTGATGACATGATATGGAGCATATTTTCATGTACTTATTTTCCATCTGTATATCTTTTTGAGTGAGGTGTCTGTTATGACTTTGGCCCCCCTCTTTTTAAAGATATGCCTGTTTTTTGGTGTGTGTGTGTGTGTGTTTTAATCCTCATCCGAGGATATTTTCCATTGATGTTTTTTGTTGTTGTTGTTGTTTGTTTTGTTTTTTTAGAGAGTGGAAGAGAGAGGGAAAGACAGAACTATCCATGTGAGAGAAACACATAGATTGGTTGCCTCCTGCACAAGTCCCATCCCAGGCCCTGGCCAGAGAGGAGCCTGCAACTAAGATATGTGCCCGTGACCAGAATCAAACCCAGGACCTTTTGGTCCCCAGGTTCACACTCTATCCACTGAGCCAAACTAGCTAGGGCAGTGGTCAGCAAACTCATTAGTCAACAGAGCCAAATATTAACAGTACACTGATTGAAATTTTTTTCTGTTGTTTTTTTTAAAATATATTTTATTGATTTTTTACAGAGAGGTAGGGAGAATGATAGAGAGCTAGAAACATCGATGAGAGAGAAACATTGACCAGCTGCCTCCTGCACAACCCCCACCGGGGATGTGCCCACAACCAGTGTACATGCCCTTGACCAGAATCGAACCTGGGACCCTTCAGTCTGCAGACTGACGCTGTATCCCTTGAGCCACACCGGTTTTGGCTGAAAATTTTTTTGAGAGCCAAATTTTTTAAACTTCTTCTAATGCCACTTCTTCAAAATAGACTAGCCCCTGCCATGGTATTTTTGTGGAAGAGACTACAGTGCGAACTGAGGCTAGCACCATAATGTGAGATGAGGCCAGATGCTGGACTTGTGGTGTCTTAATGGAAGTATATTCCAGACCAAGTCTGGCTGCCACTCTGCCAGGCTTGGGCCACTGAGGGGAGTTACAATGCAAGTTGAGACGGTCACCATTTGTGCTGGACTTGGAGGCACTTATCAAGAGCTATAAGGTATAACAAGGCTGCCTACTAATCATTTGGTTTTGTGAACTTTTGAGAGATTTTGGGAAAATTCACAGCATGAGCCAAGGCAAGCCACTTACAGAGATGAACCACTGGAAAAGGCTTGGGCCGAGGGCTGGGCTCTTAGTGAATCACGGGGGCAGGTGAGCAGTGTGACCAGGCTAGTGGAAGCACAGATTTGATGTCTGCCTGCATCTGGCCACTGGGTGGGAGGAGAATTCCACAAAGGAACAATGGCTGGGGCCTGCCAGCACTTTCAGCCCCAAAAGACTTGCCTTGACCCCTATCCCTCTGGCCCTACCCCTCCAGCCTTTCCTGAAGTTAGTCAGTGTAGTTCCTTCCCTCACCTCCCTGGCTCTTGCGTGCTGCTGCCCCTGCACTGAAACTTGTAGTGAGCTGGTGTGCAAGTGAGTCTTTGTATGGGCCCTTTAACACGTTAAGCACCATGTCAGTCACCGGCGACTGACACTACACTTTCCGTCCAGACCAGTCACTGGTGTCACCAGCTTATCAGTGAAATTGGATATCGCGGGCTAAACGGAAAGGAAGACAAAACAGGCGTGGCGCTTAACTTATTAAAACCTGCAACGCCTCAGTCTAGCAGCCCTTTATCTTTCTGGGATACAGTCCCCACTGGTTTTCACAGCCAGATGTTATGGTCACTCCCCTTCCCAGCACTGATGCTCTAGGGCAGTGATCAGCAAACTCATTAGACAGCAGAGCCAAATATCAACAATACAGCCATTTAAATTTCTTTTGAGAGCCAAAAACCGACTTCTGCGCATGGATCACGAAGTTTCAGTTGTACCTGCTTGCCCGCACGTGGTATTCTGTGGAAGAGCCACACTCATGGGGCAAAGAGCCGCTTGTTGCTCGCGAGCCACAGTTTGCTGACCACTGTTCTAGGGGGAATCTCAGCAGCCACAGGGGAATCATGGGTGTGGGGCCTGTTTCAAATCTCTGCCCCTTTTACTAGTCTCCACATTGCTGTTTCTGTATGTCCTTAGTTACAGGAATTCTGTTCGATGAGTGTTCAGGTGGTTCTCAATGATGGTTCTATAATGTAGTTGTAATATATATATATATATATATATATGTAATATACATATATGTATATGTATATTTATTTATTAAGGTATTATATGTGTACATATCTTACCATTGCCCCCCCACTCCCATACAAGCCCTCCCTCCCCAGAGATTTTTGTCCATTGGTTTTGCTTATATGCATGCGTACATGTCCTTCAGTTGATCTCTTATCTCCCCCAGATCTCCCTATCCTCCCCGCTGTAATTTGACAGTCTGTTTGTTGCTTTACTGTCTCTGTATCTATCTTTTTGTTCATCAGTTTATAATGTTCTTTATTATCCATAAATGAGTGAAGTCATGTGGTGTTTCTCTTTCATTGACTGGCTTATTTCACTCAGCATGATGTTCTCCAATTCCATCCAGGTTGCTGCAAATGATAAGAATTCCTTCTTTTTTATGGCAGCATAGTATTCTTTTGTGTAGATGTACCATAGTTTTTTTTATCTAATCATCTGCTGATGGGCATCTAGGCTGTTTCTGTAGTTGTAATTTTGATGTGGTTGGAGGAGAAGGTGATCACAGGGTGTATCTACACTGCCATTATGACAGGATGTCCCATTGTCCAATATCTATTTTTATGATATTTTCTCGGATTGAATTCTCACCGTAGGTAGCTATCTTTTTTTTTTCTTTTTTTTTTTGTAAATATGTTTTTATCGATTTCAGAGAGAGGAAGGGAGAGAAAGAGATAGATGATTCTCTCTCATCATTGATATTTCTATCAGCTGCCTCCTGCATGCCCCAACTGGCGATTGAACCCACAACCAGGTCATGTGCCCTGACCAGAAATTGAACCAGGACCTTCTGGTTGGTAGAATATCTTCACCCTGGCCTCCCTTCAAAACTGAGTTTTTGCCAATTAACTGCCTCTAGACGGGTGGTAGCTATTATTTTTATATTTTTGATAATCATTCCCTAAAGATTTTACCATTTGTATGTGCATCTCTAACCAATATAAACCCTAATAAATCAGGTTTTTTTGTTTTGTTTTTTTATCCTTACCTGAGGATATGTTTTTTATTTTAATTTTTAGTTACTCATCA